TTCCGAACATTGTTTTATTTAATCGCACAACAACGCTCTTTCTTTCTGCAAAAGTGGGACATTCAACAGAATTGCCAGCATCCCCCAGTTTTTTAGGTACCATTCCCATTGGCCCAAATAAAAGGCAAAGCCTATCCCCCCCCTTTAAAAAAATAAATAAAAATCAGTCCTGAATTTTGCCTTTCTTTTTAAAAAGGATAAAGATAAACTTGCTCAGAAAATAACCGGTCTCTGGGCCCGAATCCCTCCATGCTGTTCGTCTTTACACACCATGCATTTTTTTTTTTTGGAACAACTTTATGTCCATCCTTCCTTGTGTATTTTTTAAAAGTAAATAAATAAATCGTGGTTTAAAACCCAAGATAGCCACCTGGCAGCCCATAAGCTAGATCTGGTTCCCCGAACCAATTTCATTCGGGACCACCCCACCCCTCCCCACTGCCACACTCCCCCTCAAAAGTACAGTCAACCTAGGAGAAAAAATTTGCTTCCCATCTCATTGGTCAGGAAAAAGGAAAGCAAAAAAGAAAGAAAGAATATTTTCAAGTTGTAAGTAATAGGAGATAATTCCCATCTCTCTCTTTTTTGGATTTTGTACGCAATATGTAGATGTACATATTTGTATGTAACTCAGCGCCTGGAGTCTGTTTTCTGTGAAGTCCTGACGTCAAGAGGGCACCAACTTTGTCCATCCACGAGAAAGGGGAGAAAAACGGGCTTGTGTGCATCAAAAACTCTCCATCCTTTCTCTTCCTTCTAAGAACTGTCTGGAGATTCAAATCGGTCCCCTCCTATCCTACGGAAGTTGGACATCTCTGCTTTTAAAACCTGACAAAAATGTACTTGAGTTGCAATCCTACTCAAAAGGAAAAAAAAGTCAATATTGTAAGAAAATACCTTTCTTTATTAGAAAATACCTAGCTAGCTATACTCTTAATACTTCTGAAGATCATGATGTAACGTAAATTTCTCTGACTTAGTTTCTATATGTGGAGTTTAGTGGAAGTCCTTTTCTGTTTTCTTTAGAAGAATACATGGAACTTTTTTCCCTCCCCCAAAAGGCCAAGACAAATTTGAACTCAAACTTGGTTTTGAACGCCTTCCGTATTTTTAAGCTTAACGGTGAGACGGGAGCCCTACATGAAACGAAGCCCAGACGAATCCAGTTGGAAAGGAAAACCGGAAAGGCTTAAGAGGAAGAAAGGAAGAGGAAAAAAGGAAAAGATCCTTGTCATCATTTCGGTTTCGGTTTTTTCTACTTTCAAAACTAGACCTAGACGAGTAAGTAAGCATTCCAAAGTCCATCATTCTGTGTACATTATTGTTGCTATTGTGAGTATAGAGAATTTTATTTATTTTTTAATGCCAGCTTTTATTGTGGAAACATATGGGTTTAGTCCGGTTTTAATCAATCCTTGTTAATGCTTGTCCTTGAAACATCTTTTTCGCGTACTCAAGGTTTGTAGTTGAAAAGTTTACTGTACAAAAAAAAAGGAAAAAAAAAACAAGGGGAAAAAATTCAAAAGAAAAATCCCACAAAAAAACTATTGTTTTTACAGAATAAATTTATTGGAATGTGTATCGGGAGTAAGGTTTGAGGTTGTAAGCAGCTACGTTAGCGTCGTATTTGGCTTCATACGTGTAATAATGTGAGGTATTCATGTAACTCGAGTATTAAAGCAACGCATTCTGTTAACACTGAGTTGGTTCTAATAGAACGCCCAAATGCAAGGGAAAAATTTGGCTGTTTCTGTCCAGGCCCAAACAAAGGCTGTGTACATTTAAAAAAAACACAAATTCATTTGTTCCATGGTTCTTGATTTATGACTAGTATGTCAAGTAGGGTCTGTGCAGGGCAGTGTCAGCTACTCACAAGAACAGAAATGAAGGGAGCTGTGTTAGCCCACAGCAACAAACCAAAGGAAAACACCCACAGTTTGGGAAGTGTATTCTTATTAAGACCAACCACAATTCCCGCTTCTTGTTCGTTCGCAGAGGGCCACTTAGTTCTTGGCCAAAGTGCACGGAGCAGAAAAGGCAGGTCTCTGCCCTGATCAGGTTGCAGTTGGTTTCAGCTTTGGGCCAGGCAACCATGGAAGGAGAGAAGGAGTAATATCGAGGAAGAAAGAGTGGGTGTCTGCAACGTTACATTAGGAGTATTCATTATATTCCAGTTTCTGATCAGCTGGGGGCAGGAAGGATGGGCCAAATAGATTCAACTCGATACGAAACTCGTACAAAGCAGGCTGGGCGAGTAGAGAACCATTTAGAGCTGTCTAAAGCTGTTTAAATCTGCCTTCGGTTAAATTTATAATTGGCTTGTGTGGCCAAAGCAGCTTAGCAAAGTATTCCATATGCTGCGGCTTTTATGCCTTTAGGTCTTGACACGTTGACTTTGCAAAGATGGAGCGCAGAAATGTGGCCGGACTCTCCCCCACCCCACCACGCAAAAACCATCAAATAAAGAAAATGGGATTATTGTGACAGGCCAGGCGTCGCCTTCCCCTGCCATCCCACCTTCTCTCTTCATGGCGCTCCGAATACCCGGTTTTGTGGTGTGTTGTGGTCCTCCCTCACTCCGGTGAAGATGCCCTGGGGCAGAAAATGTGACCACTAGGCCAGCCAAGGGGCCCAACCTCATGATCTATTTAGGGGACTTGAGAGGTGTGCATTGGTACCTAGAAGGCAGAACCCTTTTCATGTTTCGTAAATTCGCATCGGTGTCACGAATTTATGGTCTGCAGAATTTCTGTCTGCAGTTTTCCTCCTGCCACCTGACTAGGCTGAGATTTTTTAAAAAATGGGAGCAGCTGCAAAGCAGCACACTTTTGCATGCCAGAAGTCGGTTTCCATCTGTACCAACAGCAATGCGGGTGTCGTGAAAACCCCCAAACAACTGGAGGAAACGGTGCTTAGGATAGGGAGAGTCTGTTCCCATTTCATGCTGCACCGCCTTCAGCTCTGCCATGCATTAAACCCACGGTAAAAAGACACCAGATTGCCATCAACGTATGGTGGATGGAGCATCAGGCCAAGATGCAGGCACCTTGGATTCTAACAGGAACCCACACTTTTGAACGTCTCACACACTTTTAAAACCCTGTTAGGCAGCAACTGGACACCACACAATCACACAAAGGAGTCCACCTTTTAAGGTGTTGCCTTCCAGAAATTCTCAGCTAACATCAAGGCGGCCTACTTGCGTTCTACTGGAATCCCATGAAAGCAAGGTCTCGAGAAGATCTATGAAAGGGAGAAGTCTTTATTCCCAGCACTGGTGTGTAACACAAGGTCGTGAGACCTTCTTTCAGGAGGAACTGCACAGGATTTGTTAACAGCAGTCCCATGACAGAAAATCTTACTCTGCCTTTTCATCTGGCTTGGGCTTTAAGAAAAACTCTGGGCTCTGTACACATCTGTAAGCGAACAGCTGAGGAACAACTCCAAAAGTTATGTTGAGTATAAGAAACCACATCTTTCCTTCGCCTGGAACTCTGTAGATGTAGGGTGTTCTGGCATGTAGAGAAGCACCAACATGAGAAAATTGAGCCTATAGAAAAGAAACAGAGATGTAAGTGGGAGGCATTGATCAGGGCCTTTACACATCACACTAAACCACGGTTTATGTCAGTCACCTTTGATTGTCCTAAGTTGCGAATTCTCTTACAGTCAGCCAAGCAAACCACAGTTTGCTTTCAAATATTTCTGGCCCATTTCTCTCTTGGCTCTTTTGCCAACCTGATTCAGTGAAAGTTACAGGGAAAACAAGCCAGGGGCAAACTACCATTCACAACAACCCATGGTTTCAACAAGCCAGAATTCATAAGCTAACAACAAGCCATGGATTGTAATTGTATGCATCTGGCTCACAAACTATGGCTTGTTTGCAAGGATGGCCTTGGGGATAGCAACAGTTAACATTATTTACATGTCAGGATAGCCACTGTGTGTGAAAGGAAAAATGACTACAGAGGTGCCAGCTATGATTTTTGTATGTGACTTTATTTAAAACTGACTTCTTAAAAATGCTACATGACTAACATAGCCATCAGATTTACACTGGCAAGCAAAAAGCAGAATCCTGCACCGTTTTGCCATGAAAAGATGACAAAACATTATCCTTCCAGCTATGAAAAGTCATGGGAGGATAATCAAACGTCCTTTACTTTTTAACTGCCCCTTTGCTTCTAATTGCGAAGCTGCCATTTCATCTGTTTCTGCCTTTCTTGGATGAAAGCCAAACAATTTGACTTTTCTCCATTCAAAATCTCAGTTGGTTCAGGCTCTCTTTAAACTCCAGTCACAGTTGAGATGGGTGCCTTCTCCTGCTGAGAATCACAAAGTCATAAACAGCCCCCACCCCTCGTGCAAGGAAACTTTACAGCTCTCTGCAACAGCCCAGGGACAAAACTGCACACTGTGATTCCGGAAAGCCCCAAATCTGATCACGGTGCGCTTTGTACTGTTTTGTGTTTCACGGGGCAACACAATGGTGGTGTGGCTTCTCTTTTTATCCTCCAGAGAGATTCCTGCTCCTTTGCCTTTGTCGAAAGTGGGTGAGGGGCTTTTGGGAACGCTCCCATGGTACTCTTCTGGAGCGCCGAGTAAATTTACATCTAAGGTTATGCACAGAGAAGAGAGCTGAGCCAAGGAATATTTTTAGCCTAAACAAGCGTTTAAAGATAGACGTGATGGCAGAGGCCCCCGGGATAGGTGGCCTCTGCTTCTGCCTCTTTCTCCTCCGGTTCGAGTGACAGTTCGTTTGCTTTTTTACAGCCTTGTGCCCCAAATTTTTTTTTCATCTGAACTGTTGCCGGGAGGGAGGAGGAAGGGTGGAATGTGGGCCTTAGAGTAACCGAAATGTTAACAGGTCATTGGGGGAGAGTGAAGTGGCCAGTTATTTCTGGGGTGGGGGCAGGGGAATGGTCAAAGGTTGGCAAACAGGCCTTGCCAAGTCTGAGAGAGAGAGAGAGAGAAGAGTCAAAAGAGGACAATGGGAAAGGCTGTGTCTGTTGTCAAGATTGTGGAGGCTGAGGTCATCCTCTGAAATATCCCTTCCCTCCATCCAAACCTCGGATGCGCTGTCATGTCAGCGCCAACTTAGCGGTGATGCGATGAACGAATGACCTTCCAAAGGTCTCCTCAGTTGACCACTGAGCGCAGGTCTTGGAAACTAAAGGTTGTGGCTTCCTTTATCGGATCGACCCATCTCACGTTCGGCTGACCTTTTTCCCTCCTGCCTTCCGCTTTTCCTAATAGGACAGTCTTTTCATGATAGGTCTCAAGTACAACAGGCTGAAATCCTGTTGCTTAGCTCTAGCAAGCCACAACTAGAAGAGGTTCACGGAGTGATGAGGACTTGGGGGGAGGTCCTGACTCCATCCAGTTCCTAGTGATTCAACACTTTAGTTGCGACTTGCTAGGATTTCAGGATTTCAGCCACTGGTTTGGCTGAGCCGTTTTAGCTTCTGCAGAGAGTTCCGGCTTTTTTTATATAAAATCCAGAACCCGTTTCCCTGCCCTTTGGAGGCCCCTTCTGTACCTTCCATGCACATGGTATGACCGGCAAGGGGACTGGGTTCTCAGCTACGTGCAAGGGCAGCAAGACAGGGCTGGCTGTATGGCGAGAATGTCCAGAAAACCAGACCACCTCAAAGATAGCACCCTTTTTCCTCTGCTTGTGCCAGCCTCCCCGGATCCCTTGCGCTGCTTTATAGGGCACTTGTTCCAACTCGATAATACTGTTTTTCAGGGGACGCAACCCAAACAGAACACAATATTCCAGAGCTGGTCACAGAAGTGTAATACCTGAGCTAGTCCTCCGGCATGTATAAGGGTTAAATCAGGCATCCAGGAACATCCGGGGATGAGCAGGCCGTAGAGTGAGATTACGTAGTACGGCACAGAATAGAACATATATACCAGCATCTGCACAGGAGAAGAGAGGTTAGCCCTTGGCATGTGCACCTTCAAAAGAGGACTCCTTCTAACTAGTCTTACATTTGGGTGGAAAGACAGAATGGGGTGGCATTCCCCCACCAACACCTTTTGATCTTTTATTTTATATTTACTTTTTTGCCTGCAACTCCCAGAATCCTGCAACTGCAGTCTTTTTAAAAAGTCTTCTTCTTCTTCTTCTTCTTCGCGCACCTTCCAAAGAGGAGTCCTTCTCGCTAGCCTTCCACTTGGGTGGAAAGACAGAACGGGGTGGCATTCCCCCACCACCATCTTTTGATCTTTTATTTTATTTTTACTTTTTTGCCTGCAGCTCCAATCCTGCAACTGCAGTCGTCTTCTTCTTCTTCTTCTTCTTCTTCTTCTTCTTCTTCTTCTTCTCCTTCTCCTTCTTCTTCTTCTTCTTCTTCTTCTTCTTCCTACTACTACTACTACTACTACTACTACTACTACTACTACTACTACTACTACTACTACTACTACTACTACTACTACTACTACTACTACTACTACTACTACTACTACTACTACTACTACTACTACTACTACTACTACTACTACTACTACTACTACTACTACTACTACTACTACTACTACTACTACTACTACTACTACTACTACTACTACTACTACTACTACTACTACTACTATTGAATTCTGCAATGGATCCCTTCTTTACCTGGAGTTTTGGATAGGCAGAAGGATCTTTGAGGTACGGCTCCTGATGCTGGCTGTAAAGTCGGCACACTTCGACCGGGCAGTCCAAGGCGATCTAAAGAGAAACCAGAACCACATTTGGACCCAAAGCCGATGCTGCGTGAAAGCAGTTGAAGGCCTGAGCTGCTGATCAGTTAAAAGCTCCCGGTTCACCACTTCTCCAGCTGGCCTCACACCAGCAAAGGCTCAGCGTTAAAGTCTCCAAATTTGGAGTTCTGGACTTCCACGGACAGGAGCCTTAGGGGCCGGCCCTCCGGTTTGGGCTTCTGGGAGATGGAGAAGACGGAGGGCCAAAGATTGAGAGGACCCACAGTCTTAAGCAACCGCTTTCCTAATGACCCCACATCAAAAACAGGGAAAGAGAGGTCAGAACATGAGAGAGAGAGAGAGAGAGAGGGACAAAAAACAAACACACATCTACTGAAATGGTCTCACAATCTAGATATACATATATCTAGAGCGGAATAGTGCTCATGTCAAGATCATTTCTAACACCTGCCATACTTGTAGATTAATCCCATGCACACCCAAAGATCACTGGATTTCTTGGAGTAAGAAATAATGGTTCTCAGCTACGTGCAAGGGCAGCAAGACAGGGCTGGCTGTATGGCGAGAATGTCCAGAAAACCAGACCACCTCAAAGATAGCACCCTTTTTCCTCTGCTTGTGCCAGCCTCCCCGGATCCCTTGCGCTGCTTTATAGGGCACTTGTTCCAACTCGATAATACTGTTTTTCAGGGGACGCAACCCAAACAGAACACAATATTCCAGAGCTGGTCACAGAAGTGTAATACCTGAGCTAGTCCTCCGGCATGTATAAGGGTTAAATCAGGCATCCAGGAACATCCGGGGATGAGCAGGCCGTAGAGTGAGATTACGTAGTACGGCACAGAATAGAACATATATACCAGCATCTGCACAGGAGAAGAGAGGTTAGCCCTTGGCATGCGCACCTTCCAAAGAGGAGTCCTTCTCGCTAGCCTTCCACTTGGGTGGAAAGACAGAACGGGGTGGCATTCCCCCACCACCATCTTTTGATCTTTTATTTTATTTTTACTTTTTTGCCTGCAGCTCCAATCCTGCAACTGCAGTCGTCTTCTTCTTCTTCTTCTTCTTCTTCTTCTTCTTCTTCTTCTTCTCCTTCTCCTTCTTCTTCTTCTTCTTCTTCTTCTTCTTCCTACTACTACTACTACTACTACTACTACTACTACTACTACTACTACTACTACTACTACTACTACTACTACTACTACTACTACTACTACTACTACTACTACTACTACTACTACTACTACTACTACTACTACTACTACTACTACTACTACTACTACTACTACTACTACTACTACTACTACTACTACTACTACTACTACTACTACTACTACTACTACTACTACTACTACTACTACTACTACTACTACTACTACTACTACTACTACTACTATTGAATTCTGCAATGGATCCCTTCTTTACCTGGAGTTTTGGATAGGCAGAAGGATCTTTGAGGTACGGCTCCTGATGCTGGCTGTAAAGTCGGCACACTTCGACCGGGCAGTCCAACGCGATCTAAAGAGAAGCCAGAACCACATTTGGACCCAAAGCCGATGCCGTGTGAAAGCAGTTGAAGGCCCGAGCTGCTGATCAGTTAAAAGCTCCCGGTTCACCACTTCTCCAGCTGGCCTCACACCAGCAAAGGCTCAGCTTTAAAGTCTCCAGATGTGGAGTTCTGGACTTCCACAGACAGGAGCCTTAGGGGCCGGCCCTACAGTTTGGGCTTCTGGGAGATGGAGAAGACGGAGGGCCAAAGATTGAGAGGACCCACAGTCTTAAGCAACCGCTTTCCTAATGACCCCACATCAAAAACAGGGAAAGAGAGGTCAGAACATGAGAGAGAGAGAGAGAGAGAGGACAAAAAACAAACACAAATCTACTGAAATGGTCTCACAATCTAGATATACATATATCTAGAGAGGAATAGTGCTCATGTCAAGATCATTTCTAACACCTGCCATACTTGTAGATTAATCCCATGCACACCCAAAGATCACTGGATTTCTTGGAGTAAGAAATAATCAAGAGAACAAAAAGAGAAGGAGCATCCAACACCATTCTACAAGGAGGGGGATGGACTACAAATCCCATTGCATGGTTGTCTCCCCTCCTTTGGGCTGTAGTCTATCTGTCTTACATTTTGTAATGCTTACGTTGGAAATTTGTTCACATCAAGCAATAAAGTCTTTAAGGAGAACCCCTTACCATGCCCCGGAAAAGACAGAAACCAGTGGCAAAGATGCAGTACGCCGCTAGGACCAGATCTAAAGGTCTTCTCCAAAGCCTCTTCTGGTGTGCTTCTTGAATAGCCTAAAGGAGAAATTTCCAGAGGGAGCAGCTGCATTAGCAGCCTATTAATGAAGAGTCTCGTTACACGGTGATGTCTAACAAATGTAAGATTTCATGGATTAAAGCCTTCCGAGGCAATTATGAGAAGCTCGTGCTATACTAAATGAATATATTTCCAGCATGTCACATTGTGTCTGAAACATTAACATTCAGATGGCAGATGACACAAATTATCCCTGCTAATCGAACCATCCCAGCGTTCGACCCTGTCAGCTCCGGTCTGCAAACCGTGAGTAAATCCTCCAGAATCAATGGGATTCGTATCGGCTCTGACAGTGTCTGATCGAGCCCCTTGCTCTCGTGGAGGCTGGCATCTGGATGAGGGCCTCTTCCACAGCTTTGGACAAAATCTAGAGCTGGTCTTGGAAGGGACACGGAAGACAAATGGAAGCGGGAACTGAAGCCGTGAGCAAGGCGTTTTCGTTTTGAAGATATTCCAAGCGCAGGGCATAATTTTCCCCCATGCACTTGGGTTTGCGGGAAACAGGAAATGGCTACCTGAGGGGAGCCGGCGTTCCGGACCTCTGGAACCAAGCCAAGCCCCAGGAATTGGCTGCCAACCCGTCTGAGGTCTTAACAACAACAGGACGCAGAAAATATACAAAAGGGGGAAAAAACGCTATTACAAACATGCGCCTCCTTCCCCTTGTCCAGTGGCTTCCAGCTTTAAGGAACTCTCCTTATCTCAAAAAGCAGCAGACCTCCCAGTTATGTGGAATAACAAGCCCCCAGCTTCAAATGAAATTGTTCCGTCATGAGCCACCCTGTTCAGCCTGAAATCTGAGTCCCTCTCCCCCCTTTTCTCCCAATTTTACCAGTGGGAAATAAGAAATTTATTTATTTATTTATTTGATTTGATTTGATTTGATTTGTATCCCGCCCATCTGGTCAAATAGACCACTCTGAGCGGCTTAGAAAGAGGGCCAAAAGACTATGGCCACTGATGTGGCCACACCCTGGCTTGTTATTCTGGTTTCCTTCATATAACAGAGCAACCTCACCGTTTCCATTAGATCTGAGTAACTGCACAACTTCCCATAACAATTAAAGCCAGGGATGAGGGAGGGACCTGTTCTGATGTTTTTATTCAATGATTAAAATTTTAAACTGCAGCCAGCCAGAGGAGAAGAAAGAAAGAAAGAAAGCAAGAAAGAAAGAAAGAAAGCAAGAAAGAAAGAAAGAAAGCAAGAAAGAAAGAAAGAAAGCAAGAAAGAAAGAAAGAATTCCCAAAGGAACTAGGGAAATCTTTCTGGCATGAAATAGCAGACGGCTGGATAAACACAGAGCTTGCTCGTACGTTTGCCAAGCTAGTGATCCAAAACTTTGCAGAAATACACCCACTGCATAAACATACGCAGAAGCAGAAAAAGGGATGCAGCTCTGAGAAGCAAAGCAAGAAGGCTTACCTTCACTGGGGAAGCAAAGTTTAGAAATCAATCTATCGGAAGACTTTAACTTCTAAATTTCCCTACTCAGCATGCGCTCTGGGATAATCAACAACAGATCCTGCCCCTCCTCTGTGTAACTACCTTTCAAGTACCTTAAGAAGGCTATCCTATAATCTAGTGTGAAGGAGTGTGCAAGAAGAACAGAGAGGGAGAGGGAGACCCCACATACACCGTTTGTTTTTAAGCCATACAGCAGAAATTCTTTTGCCATTCAGCCGATGTTTCCGCTCACCATTTTCCCCATAAAAAACAGGCGGCAGAATCAACACAGATGTTACCTTAGCTGTAACGTCTCCAGTTGCTGCTGCTTGGCTGCAGATTCTGAAACCAGCCCAGACTGGGAGGCAGATGTAGGGAATACCCAATAAAGAGGCTGCGCAAATTCTTGTTCCGTATTTCCCTGTTCGTCAACAAAACAAATGAAGAGCTGAATGTTCGGAGGACGAAGCCTTTCACGGGGAGTTTTACAAAACTAGATCATTGCCTGGGAATCACGTGCCTTTGGCCTTATGTGCACAACGAACTGGAAATAAGCCCCACTGAGCTAAGAGAACTTTCAGGACATGTCTCAGACAGCACTGCTGATGTATCCTTTAACGTGTCGGTCAGGTACATTCCCATGCCTGTTTACCTTTCCCACCTCTCTGTGTAACTGACTCCCCAAAATATTGATGGAGACTTGAATTAGCCTAGCACTCAAGACACAGAGAATTCAATAATTTTTGAGCTGTGGATTATTTGTCCATAAGAGCGAATGTTTTTGTGCTCCTAGAGGAGGCACTTGAAAGCTGGCTCTCAAATATAATCCTCTTGCTTCCATGTTTGAGCAACGTTGTTTAGTTCATTTGCACCACATCTGGGGGATGTTTACCTCTCCCTTGACATCATTGCACCAACAGGGATAAACGACCATATAAAGCACCGAAGACGTTCTGCGTTTGGCTTTTCATCAGAATAGAACAGGTTTTTCTTCAGTGCTGGACTTAAGAGTGGCCCTAAAGACACTAAGCCAGAATGGACACGCTCCGTGCTTGGGGCTGGCTTTGCCGGCAATGTTTTATCCTTTCTGCTTGCAAAGCCTGCTTCTTAAAAATTGTCTCCTCGAGTATTAGGAATGCTACAGAATTCAAAAATAACTAGAAACTAAAGGAAAGAAAAATAACACTAACGGGAGAAATCTCATCCTGTAGCTACTTGATCAATGGCAGAAGGAATCCCATTTGAAATATTTATGTAAGTGGAATCTATTGGCATTTGGGATATTTTCTCTCCCTCGTCTTTCAAAACAACAATTTATGTTTGATCTCTTTTCTATAACCTAAGGGAAAAAATGTGATCGATATTGCCACACAGATTTCTGATTGATCATGCCAGGCTGTCTAAAAGCTCACCATTTTAGCATTGCTAAGGCATAAGGATGAGTCAAGGTTGCATCTATATGTGGTGTCTTCTCCCCACCTGATCAAGTTTTCCACTGTGCAGCTTTTTAAGCCCTCACACAAAGCATGAACAAGTTTCCACAGGGAACAACCCGAGCATCCATTCTTCCTTGCTAATGATTGCGCTCCCAGACGTACGAGCTTGGCTCCAGATGGAGCATTTTGCAAAGGTCTGAACCAGCTCTTAGTGAATTGTGTTTCAAGAGTTAAGTGCTAATGGAAAAACAACATGTTCTTTCTTCCTGTTGTTGTTTTTCCTCCTGGGAGGTACAGGACCCCCAATGCACAAGCTGTTTGAAGTACGCAACAAAAATCTGTGGCATGAGTCTGCATCCTTCAGCCTTGCCACCATAACCTCTTCTTCTGGCAAAATAGATGGGTGGAAATTTCTGGAAACCTACAAATTCATATCTTTCACAATTGTGCCTTGCCCAATTAAATATCCACCCAAAATCCATTTTTGTTTCCCAAAAGTTTGGCTTTTAGGCCTTTGGAGATGCAATGTTTGGGCAGCCTGTGTGTCCCTCGGAGGGTCCCAGGGGTCACAAAAACAGCCTCCAGACCTGCACCAGTTGTCGCTCCTGATTGTGAAAAAAAGCTATTGGTCCAGTCTCACAAAGCAAAGTCAGGGAAGTAACACTTCCTTACCCACAACATTTCCAGGCACAAAGACGACAACACTCATCATGATCGATCCTAGCCAGTAGAGCCCGATTGTCCGGTAACTTTCCCTGCAACAAAAAATGCTTGGGTTTTTTTTCCCCCAACATCCATGGTGAACACAATTGGAGACACAGATTGTAAGAATGTGAACACCCAGGAAGTATTGAGATACAGAGGGAGAGAGGAAGGGAGAGAGAGAAAGTGTCATTCTTGCTAAAGATAGGACTCAAAACCCATCCATCATTTTGACTGCTTTACCTCAGGGGTGGGCAAAGCACCACCCTCCACTTGGTGTCAGACCACACCTCCCATCAACCCTTTCCAGTGTAGCCCATGGCAGTGGATGCTGGGAGTCATAGTCCAGACATTTAGAGCCGAGCGAAGCGGCTCCCAAAAGCAAAGTGGATTGGCAACCTAGAAAACATCCATTGTTTTATTACCCAAGTCAAGCTTCACAAGGACTTCCAAATCCATTCGGAATGAATCAAATAATTAATTGTTTGGCTTCTTTTCAAGACGCGACTCAATCCAGGCTGCCTCAATCTGCCTAATGCTAGAGCCGGCCCTGAATTTAGCTGGGAACTGGTTTCCACTGTCAAACTGCGGCGTAATATTTTTCTTTTCTTTTATTCCCCTGCTCGATAAAAGGCCTGATATGTAAATGGCACAAAAAGCGAGGTCTTTGAGTTCCATTTACTTTGCAACCTTTAAAAAAAAAAAAAAGCACGAAAGTTTGACAAACAATCATGCAATGGCAGAAAGAAGAAGATGTGAAATCCACTTACTCCCATGCAATGGCAGCCACCATCAGGAGATACATCAGATAATGAACTGAGCCATCCCAGAAACATATCATGTGGGCATAAGCTGTGTTCAGATAAGGTTCGCCCTAGGGAAAACAGGTACTAGAGTGAGGGATACAGTTAGACAGTGTGTCAGAGATGTAGGAATGAAAACCATCTTGCAAAGAACACGCCTGATTCATTCAATCTAGACAGAAATATATATATATATTTCCAGAAGGTCACATCTCATGGTTCAGCTAGCAGAACGGCTACTCTCTGAGATCAATAAGAATAATAATAGCTACAACCCTATTGCCCATCTAGATAAGGGTACCGTTCCACACTCAGAAAAGCAACCCACGCCTTGATAATGATGGCAAGTGGCCATCCAGACCTACGCAATTTCCCTTACACATGCACAAATCAATGGTAAGATTCTGGCCAATAATTATATTAAGATAAATTGGACACCTTTTGCTAAACGAAACCAGAAACCTCTCAAGGCATCATAACAATTCAAAAATACAAACTTTAATAGAAATAAAGCCACAAGAGCCTTTATTGGTTATGCTGCAACAGGTATGGATTAAAACACAGCTACTCCTTTTTTTAAAAAAAAAGTAATTAAAAACGGATTGCCTAAAGGCACAATCCTACCCTGTTTCCCTGAAAATAAGACCTAACCTGAAAATAAGCCCTAGTATGTTTTTTAGGATGCTCGTCATATAAGCCCTACCCCCCAAAATAAGACCCAGTTAAGTGAAAGCCCCCCCTCCACCCTTGTGCAGCAAACAGAAGATGATGACAGGACTGTATTTGAATAAATGTAGATCGTACATGAAAAAAATAAAGCATCCCCTGAAAATTAGACCTAATGTGTTTTTTGGATCAAAACTTAATATAAGACCCTGTCCTATTTTCAGGGAAACACGGTATACAGTACATAAGAATTCTGAACCCTATTTATTCTAGATGCGAAACTAAGCTGGTTTTCCCGAAGAACTGCCCCTCTTTCCCCCAAATTCTGTGAGAAAGGATGACGTGTTTACCCTCCACTCAGGGAAAGGTTAGGCCCCAATGTGGGTTTCTTTCCCCCTCCTCAGCAGGACACAATTTCACCTCACCTCCCTACAAGTCCATCGTGAGCACCAAGCAAAGCCAGAAAGACTGCCATGAGCTCAACAGAACAGGAAGGCAATAAAAGGGCCCAACAATGACTTTAATGGATTTAGGCTCCCATCCCAAGAGATGATTTAGAGGCATAGCTAGGCTGTGAGTTTAGGCTGTGATTCAACCCTTCAAAGGAATGGCCGGATCACAGAGGCCAATATATTTTACTGCCTTACTTGAGGGGCACTAACGGCATTAGCACCCAAAGATACATCTTCTCGCATCAGTGGCAGCAGGATAGATCCAGAAGCCTAGAGGGCTGCCCCTATGTAGTCCTGAACCCCCATTATCCCTAGTTCACGCCCCCTTTTTTCCCAGACTGCAATGGTCCACTGCGACCCTTTCAACCATCCCCTATACCTTATTTAGGAGCCCTCGGGTCTTATGTCGAAACCATATATGCGCCTGGGATTATCAATTTTGAAAAAGGGGCTTTTACTGCCGCTCCAAATAAGGCACAGCCCCCTCACCATCCAAAATGGCTGAAAATGGCCAATTCCTTCCCCTCTTCCCAAGACAGCTGGTCATTTCATGCCAATTTAATAAATAAATAAAACCAGGAGGCTCCGCCAGTGATGTAGTTGAGAAGTCGATCCACACTGTGTTTAATCCGAACTTCACGGGAGCTCTCCAGGAGCTCAGCTGTGCCAAGTCCCTTCTCTGGGAGAGAGGTGGCACAAAAGCTAAATAAATCAGCAGATAGATAAGGGGCTCGATTCTATTCCACCCCCAACCGGTTCAGCACCTTGGAGAGTTCCCCGGGGGACTATAACATAAATCATTCGGTGCTACCTTGGAATCGCCAGCTTCTATCCAGGAGATTGCGTTGGCGCCCCCTCTCCCTTGGCTCTGTAGTTCTTGAGCCTTTTCATTCTTTTACCCAAGTGTAAAAAATGACCATTCAGAGCACACAGCCCTCTCCCTCAGCCATCACAACAAGCCTACCTCTTTCAAGTAATGAGTCATGAAGCCATCAATTATTCCGTCATGTTCAAGCCCAATGATCAGGTTGACGATGCTGGTGAAAGCAAATACAGCAAAAACTGTGGGGATCAAAAAAGAAAATGAGGAATTAGCATGCACGCTAAGTAGGGCCCAAATCTAACGAGTGTTCTGAACTAGACTAGACCTACTGAGTCAAGGGGATGCACATAAGAGTTGACCAAGCATTCAGGAACTGATTGGATGCCGCTGCTTTGGGTAGGGCTGGGGAATGGATTTAGGCCTATATATGTCTCACTGAGAGTGTGGTTTTTCATTCGAGCTTAACACGTTATTGAAAAAGCATTAAGCTTTTTTGAAAAACTTAATACTCGGTTAGAAAGCCAGGGTAGTGTAACGGCTGCAAAGCTAGCCAAAATAATTGAATGGATGGCATGCTGACCTTCTTGAGATAACATGGTGGTAAATGGGGGTAGAATAAGTCATCCTTTATAAACTTCACCAGTTCTAATATTTTAATACTGCTTAGTCTCAATATTCCAGCTATTACCTTGTTCAAGTCATTCATGCTATACAATCTTAGCCATACACAAGCTTGATTCAGGTGTTACAGGAAACCATGGTTTCTTGCTACAAGAACAAGCCACAAAGTTATCAGGCCTGCATGTTCCTCACACCCTTTCATGCCCATGAGGAAAAAAAGCATTTGGGTTTAAATTAATCACAGTTTGCTGTAACATCCATCAAGAACAAACAATGATCTGTTAGATTTTGTTCATAAAACAAGCCAGGATCAGAAACTAGCTTCCCCCCCCAGGGGTTGCTCTCACAAACCATAGTTTAAACATGGATCAAAGGGAATTGTGGCTTGCTTTAAAATTCTAAATTGCAGCTTTCTACGTCCCATGCACATGAAAGAGAGGGATAGAGAGCTTCTGCATAGCTTGTTCTTCTAACAGGAAACCATGATTTCCCACTAAATCAAGTCAACAGCCAGAGAGGGAATATATTTCTTGCAAAATCCCATAGCCAAGATGCAGCACATTGACACATTGACACATACCATAAAACGGAGAGTCTCGAGGGGGTTTCCTTTTCACCAAAAATCGAGCTGCGACACCCACTAACAGCAGAGTCAGCGATCCGACTGCAACGATGACCCAAGAGCTGCAGAGGTTAAAACCGGAGAGAAAGAGGAAGAGAGAAATTCAGCTCTCTTTCACTTCTGCTCAAAATGATGTTGGTGTGTGTTTTTTTCCATTTGTAAATCAATGCACACACCCTCAGAAAGAGCAAGCATGGAAGGGGAATGACTGATCCATCCAAGGTACAACTCTTTGGTTTAACTGAAAGGTTGAAAATTCATACTGTGTTTAACTTAAGTTACTGGCAGAATGCAATGACCTAGTGCAGTTTGTTTCCAATTGAGAAGATATCATTATTCTGAAGACCGGCATTATGGGAAAAAAGAAAAAGGGAAGTTATTGTTTATCAGACAGGAAATCCGTTTAAAGACCGCACAGGATGAAAAGGATCTGGAAGGTATTGCTGAAGCTCCAACAGCTGGCTTCCATGCTTCTAAGTTTGCTGCTCTGTCCAGATAAAACACGAAGGCAAGAAGAAGAAGAAGAAGAAGAAGAAGAAGAAGAAGAAGAAGAAGAAGAAGCAGGAAGTGACTTCAGAGAGAGGAGAAGGAAGGAAGACAAAGATCAACAATCTACAGGGAGATCTAGAAAAGACAAAGGGGAAACTCCTAGGCTATCTATCTTCATATTGCTGCCCGCACAACTGTACAGATCATTTGTTAGATGTGTTAGGGCCCTTTCCAGCAGTTATGGGGAGACTCTTAAACCACCATTTCTGTTTCATTGGTTCATTATCTGAAATAAACACTTATGGAATGTACTACAGCTCTTCTATGGCTACCTTGTTGTCCCCTTAGAGTCATCCAGCCTGTATTGTGCATCTTGCAAATATGCTAATGGTCACGGCTCCATATGTGTTCACCATTCCTTTATCATCACTTGTTTCCTCACATGCTTTTGAATTTTAGCCTGCAGACAAATTCCGCTCTCAGCCTCCTTTTTCCAAACTGCTGATAAAGCTATTTTAGTTGCGAGCTCCCTCCTTTCTTCAAATTATGACAGGCCGGCATTTCTCTAAAGCTACAACATGAGCACACTGTTTGCAGACTTTTACTTGAAAAGTGTGTCAGCAAACAAAGGCACAAATGGGGTGTGAGCTCTTTTCTCTCCTCCGAGCTTCCAAGCTTCAAGGGAATGTGATTCACTGAAGATCAAGGAGACTCAGGTTTCCGTTTCCCCCCTCCGCTCCAAGCTCACCGGAGTAATCAACATTTTTTAAGCCTAACCCTACCCTGCCTTTTAAGGTTGTTGTGTGAGTACAACTGTCGGAGCGGGGAGCCCGTAGGTTTGAGCCACCGACAAAAGGAAGCCGCGCAAGAAAAAGACAGATGCCAACGCTGGTGGGCAAGAAACTGCACCCTGGTTCATGTCAAATGCGTTGTATCACCGAAGCAGAGTTATAATGCATCACAGCTGAATGGGGAAGGCAGGCAATGGGCGTAAGGTGTGTGCCAGTTCTGCTGTCCACGCCCAGCCCACGGTGGACGATGGGCAACCTCAAGGCCCCTTGATCCGAGCCACAGCCTTTCAGTTGGAGCAGGCAGCCTTTTCAAACAGAGGAGGCCTTCAAAAAGAGGACTGTGCCTCCCTTCCTTTTCCGTCACCCGTAAGCAAACAGCCTTCCTCTTGCCTCTGTGCCACCGTGAGTGGAGACGGTGGGTGAACAGGCCACCGCAGCCTGCAGGAGAAAGGGTGCCTTTCTGCACAGCAGTAATTGCGGGGCCCTCCCCCACAGGATGTGGGGCCCAGCCGGTGCCCCAGGGTGTTGACCCTTGCAGCCCATTCCCCTCCGGTGAAGCCCGGCCACACTCCCCACACCCCGGCTGGGGGGGGGTGTCTCCAGGCCCGATGTCGGTGGCCTCCTAAGCAGGGCAGGAGACCTGGCACTCCTTTGGCGAAACGAAGCCCCTCCTGGCACTTCCTCGGGAGAAAGCAGCTGTCGGCTATTGTTGTTGTGCTCTCCACACAATGTCCCTCACATGCAACCCGCTGCTAAAAATACCCCCACGGCTTATGCAAGCAAAGGAGCCAAGGGATTTGGCTTGCCTCTTTCTCTCCACCCTGGCACTGCGTGTCCCCCCCCAGGCCTCCTCCTGGGGCACCTGGTAGGGAAAGAGGGCTCATCCCACCCCCATCCCAACATTTCCTACATATAGATCGTGCAAAATACAGGTCTCCTGGCAAAGGGCATCGCATGCATCCATGCAAACACGAGGGGACAGGATCCATGGCACTAAAGGGTGCAAAGTATCTAAGACCCATCTAGGAACACGCGTCCTGCATGGTACAGGGGGCTTGTGAATGGGGGGGGCAGGGCTGCCTCACCCTACAAATCCAAGGGGTCACACACACCCTGCCCTGGTCACAAGCCACGACTATTTTATGTCGAGCAGAGTTCAAGAACACAACGGATCTTTTACGAAAGGATCCGATGCCGTTTGCAGTCAGACGTTAAGTCCCCTGGGGCTCAACCAGGCTGATTTCCTAAGGGAGCTCACCACCCTGTCCCCCTCACTTACCTGGGAGTAAGCAACATTAAATTCAGTGGTGCTTACTTCCAATAGGAAAGATGTAGTTATATATTTATATATTATACTACATATAAGATACAATAATCTGTAATAAGAATAGACATTCACTGTGAATGATCTTATGGCACCTCAAGGAGTGGCGGGTTTTATTGGGCTGGAGGGGGTCGTCCCCCCCCCGGCCCGCTTCACAAGATGCCCCGGCGGCGGCGGCGCCAACTACAAAAGTTTGTGCCAAACGGAACTTTGGATTTGTTTCAGGGGGACCCCAAATTAATGGTCGCTTCTGCTGCAACCCCAGTGGATCTCTTGTTTTCCCCTTCTCGCAAACGTTTTCCTTCCAGCCACGCAAACCCTTCAAAACCAGAGGCTGCCAAATCAGACACAAGGCGCTCAGCAAACGACGGGCTCTCGTCTGCCAATGGTTTTCAAACTGTCCTCTTCTCCGAGTAAGCGCGGGGATCTGATGTCAAGACGCTTTCCTCCCAAGTAAGCCCACCCAGGACCCGCCACCGGGCACCTCAGCCGGACGCCTGGACTCGAACATCAGCAAAAGTGAAGGGGAGAAAAAAAACTACAGCAAAAGCGAAGCCTAGAAGGACGCAGTTTTCCCTCCCAAGGACCGCAGCGTCAGAAGAAGCAGGTCCGTGTGAACGGTCGTCCAGACACGTGTGCCCTCCACATCCCCTCCCTGACGCCCGGTCGCGGGTTCCCTCGGCTTTCGGAGCCCTCCGCCCTTGAAGGACTCGCATCGCCCTTCGCCTCTCTCCCTAGCGAAGCGTGCCGCCGCCCCGCCTGCCCCACCCGCGTTCACACGTGCACGCGAACACGCCGCCGCCGCCGCTTGCCCGACCTTCTCGTGGCCGCCAAGGCGTTGAAGAGATACGTGACGGGGATGGCGGAGAGGGAGAGGACGAAGACGCCGG